CCATTGACAAATTGCTAAGATGAAAATGTTATCTAATTGCACACCGACAGCCTCGGAGCGCTTTGGAGAGATTGAGTGCTAATGTGGTGGTAATAATAATCACACCCCTGTGGTTTATTGAACTGGTCCAGCTGTGGTTAATGCATCTATCTGGCCTGATCAAAACTGTCTGGGTGAAGGACCCCCCCCCCCCAAACCCACCCATGCAAAACTTTCTCTGGAGAGTGATTTATTCATCTACCCCACGCTGAGCACTTAAAGAGCCTCTGCCGATACCACTGACAGCAGGTCATCTCCTCCCCTTCTGTACGCTGTGTGTGGTGCTATGTGCTCCCTCCTCGCAGTAGACATTAAAAAAAAGAAGAAGAAAAAAAACAGCAACCTGTGCGCTCTGACAGGCAGTGAAATCATTTGTGAAATTGCTGCCAAGAAGGTGTAGCTTTCAGGAACACTAAGGATTGTGTTTATGTCACCAGCTGTTAAGATCTTTTTCTTTTTGCTAATCTGTATCCAGGCATAAGGATGAGGTAGATATTACATCAGATACCTTAATTAAAATCAAAAACAAAAAAAGTTTGGTAAGATAATTCGTTTTTTTTTCTCCATCTTTGACTGCACCAGAGTTTTGTGAGACAACAGACAATGTGTAGCCAGCACGTTGCAGGATGACTTTCGCCCTCTGACCTTGACAACCTCGCCACCTTCCACCTTCATCAGCTGACGAAGGTTCTGCTGCAGCAGGCTGGTGTTGGAGCGCCACTTCAGCAGGCCAAGAAGATCCACTGAAAAAAAAAATGAACAAAATTACCACAAAGCACAGCCCTCAGTTCATCCTGCCAATGGTAATTCAGAGTGTAGAGAGATGGAAAGGCAGCGAAAAATGACAATTAAGGGAGAACATTTGAATTTAATGATTGTTGGGGTCAGTCATTTGTTTAAGATGTTCCCCCCCCACCCACACACACACACAAATCAGTTTGTAAATTTTCCAAATACAGCGTTAGTCATTCTATTAGATCTCTCATTTTAATAATGAGAAATGAATTTAGGCCCAAGAGGATGAGTGGTGATGTGATTAATCACGCTCAAGGGAGCGCTCGTTCAGACCACCTTTTGGCAGATTATCAAATTGGGAGCTTTAAAAATGCACTCATGTCGGTATGTTAAAGGTTTCGTGTATACCAGCCCTGTGAACGTCAGTCAGGTCTTTTCTAAGGACAAAAGACATTTGTCCTTTAAAAAGGTGTAGACGCAGAGAGTTGAGAGACATCAGTCAGTTAAGAGCCCCACTTCACCAACTGTTAACATCAAGGAGAGTTTACTACTATGCCTGTGAACTAGGTTTCTAATGTGTTCTGTGGCTGTAAGGGAGCTTTGTCAAACCCAGAGATGTCATCTGGGTTATCTTGTGTCGTGCTTGGAGATTACACAACTCCGCCTCTGCTGCATTGATTTTTTAAAATGTATTTCTGGAGTACTATTTCTGGAATACTTTTTTTTAAACTCATCAATCCAGTCTTTGCAAAATGTCCATAACAATTTATGAGCTCAAGGTGACGTCCTTAAATATTTTGTTTTGTCTGTCCAGAACTGTCCAGGCCCCAAAAATATGAAATTTCCAATAATATAGAGGAGAGAAAATGAGTGACTCATCACACTGGAAAAGTAGGGAATCACAGACAATTTAACAATCAAAAACATAATAAGTTTTTGGTTGATCACATAATCGATTAAACTACGAAACAGGTATAGTCCAGTCTCGATGTAAGGCAGACAGAGAAACCTTCTTATAGCAGATTCATGGTGTATTATTTGCCATGTCTAAATTATCTCCCCTGGGACCTACACCCCTAGCTGCTCCCTCTCTCCGTTCGCATACCTGACTGGCTATGGTCAATCAGGCATGGCGACACCGTGATGGATGCCTATCATCTGCAGACCTGACAACCTATCGCGGTTAAGTCACTAGACCATTTCTAAACTACCAGGGATCCCCTCTCTCCAAGGAGATAAAGATATGAAAATGTACGGTTTCGCACCTCAGACGGACAAATGGAATGAAAAGAGAATGATTCATCGGGCAGCTTGGTCTTACTAGAGGCCACTGTTGTGAGAGGGCAAGCACTCTCTAGCACATGGGACAGCGAGGCAGGGTGTGTGGGAGATCTAGTTTGCCTCAGAGTTACAAGAAAATCACAGAGTGCCTTCGACAAATAACATCTGCTCGAGAATGGAGTCTTCGCAGGCAGCTAAATTTAAAACAAAACTGGCAGATGGAAAGTGGTGGAATAATTAATTCTGGGAGAATAGGTTACATTGTCACTGCACAACTGAAATGCAAAATACTTCATATTACCATTTGAATGTTTGTTTACGGCACATTTTGCCTGACAAAAGCATTTTTTTTGTTCATTTTCACAAGCAAACACAACCACAAAGTAGTCTTAATAGCTTGTTCTTTAATAGTAACAGCCTTGTATTTGGTTATACATTTTAAAAGTGCAGGCTTTGTCAACAGTGATGTAAGAGCAGCATCACACACCATATAAACCTTACTTCTCTACTCTAAAACTTTTTCTTGAAATATTTTTCACCTTCCAGCCAAGGATGTTATTACATCTTTCACCAGGCCAGTTCCTCTCCCAGCTCTGCTGTCATTAGATCTCGGCTTCTCCTCCAGCCTGCGTTTAGTGAAGCACACTGCAAAATACCCAGGGAAGAGCCAGCAGCCACTTCACACGAGCTCCCAGCACCAGGAGACCGCCTGCATAAATCTAGCTTAATTAAAAAGAGTGTTTCATCTCGGATGTGGGGATCAGGGACGAGGTGTCATGTGTATGAAGCATGCAGTCTGTTGCAAGGGGGCATTCAAGTGCCATATTTTTTCCTTTACTCCTTTTCCTGAGTTAGTGTTCAGGAGAATCATCCTGTGAGCAACCAGTAAGGCTGAGATGAATATGAAGTCAATGATGGAGAAGTTTAGACACACTTAATATGCTGAATATTATTATTACAGGGGAAGAAATGGACATCACAACTTCCCAAGGTGACCTCTTAAAATGACTTATTTTGACCAGTGGTCAGGCAGTATGGTAGCTTGATGTCATCAGTCTGTAAGTTTGTGTGTGTGAATGAATGAATGAGAGGGAAGTTGTAAAGCACTCTGGATAAAAATGCTGTAATTCAGTCCATTTACCTGTATCGTCCAATCAACACTCCAAATAACCAAGTTCATTGACAATGATATACCACAGAGAAATTTGAGAATGTGCTTCAAGCGCATGAATGTTTGGCATTTTTTGGCTTGATGAATGATTCAAACTATTTATTGATTCTCAGATGTGACTTCAAAGTTTGTCTATCAACTACTTGCCAACTGCAAAACACTGTTGGGTAAAGGGATGCCTAAAATTGTCTAGGACAAATCAGAATGGAAGGGGGTAAAAAGAGAAATTGGGTGGGTGGGTGAGTGAGTGAGTGAATGGGTGACTGAGTGAGCTAGCTGTTTAGGTGGGAGTTTTAAAGAGCTTCTAGGTTTTAATAAAGCAGGCAGACTCTGGCACAGTCGGAGATAGATTCGCTCTGCGTTGCTTTATTAAAAGAACCAAAACCCTTTCTTAGAGCTTTTGCGTGGGACCTTTTCCTAGAGCTTTGGCGTGGGAGGACATATCGCGGGGGGGAGACACACACACAAACACACACACACACACACACACACACACACACACACACACACACACACACACACACACACACACACACACACACACACACACACACACACACACACACACATACTGGTTACCATTTGCAATGGGGACCAAATTTCTGATCATCACTTGCGGGGACCACCCTTTCTAGAGGTTCTAGAGGTATGAAAAAAATCAGGCACACTCACCATTGGTTGGTTAGCTCATACACGACTTCAAATATCTGAATTGATGAAGTAAGGTTTTCATCATGCTAACTGGGGACCTATGTAAAATCCAGTAAACATGTTTGTGGGGGACCTCATTTAAATATAATTTGCATAATTTACACAGATTTCCAATTGATTAATGGGGACCATGGTAAAACAACAAGCTTAAGTGATATAATCCTCAGATTATTGCATTTTTACCTGTCTTCTTTTGATCACAAGGTTCACTACAACAATGGCAGTGCATAATATAACCACTTTGTGATTCCTTCGTACTGTAAACTGCTATGAAGCTGCAATGGAGCTGTCCTCTACCAACCAGGTTATGTCTTTAATAATAGATTTTTCATAAAGTTATCAAGCTGCTATCCACAGGCATCAGACCAAATACTAGAATTAAACCACAATAATGCAAATGATATAATCTACTTTAGCAGCACCAAAATTAATGCAGAAAGTGTGTCATTAGGATATTTTCACTAAAGAAAATGTGTATTTTAAGCTTTAAGAACTACTGTGCTCGTGGTTTGTGGTAATATAAGAGGAGTCTTAAGTAGGGTTGGATACTGTTGTGAATCACAATTCCACATTGTAAACCAAACTGCACAAAAGTACTGTACATAACACAATAACATTATTTATTCCAGAACCAATATACTTTTTATTTTTTTTTATAGTTTTGTTAAGCGAAAACAGGGTAAACATACAATTTGTTATACAAATAAAATGGGAATCAAATGATTTACATATCATTTATACTAGAGACATTGTTCTAACTTAATCTTGATATCAGGGGTCACTTAAGTACCAAGAATTTAGTAGTGAATTACTAAATTGTTGTCTCACCCATCAAACTTTTCAACCTTAATTTCACTGTAAGGGTTTTTCTTCGTTTACGTCTCACATGGTTCTTATTTTTAACCACAGTCAACTACCCAGAAACTGTGGAATATTGTACTTCTCAGTCACAGAATACTCAACAACCCTAAAACTAGTATTCACGTTTGTCTGTGTTGTTTGCTGCATTACTTCATAGTAAAAAATAATTTCCTTAGTTCAAGAAGTCAAACTCTCATTTAAATTATACATTTAAACTTTTTATTGAGTCCTGCTCATTTGCGTTCTCTCAAGACAAAACTGAAAGCAACAATACAAACTTGTATAGAGTCGGATACTTCATTTGAATCTTCAACATCTGTGCCTTTCATCTAAGGACAAAAAAGAAGTTACTTAGACAAATATCCTTGGAACTGAACACAATCCCAGTGTACTATATTATGACAATACAATTAAAATTGTTTAAAATTCCTACAGTGTTAATCAACCACTTAATTGCAAATGTTATATCATACTTTTCTCACACACTTAAATATTTGGAGTAGTGATGTTAACAAATGGTCCTAAAAACAGCAAAAGTCTAAACACAAGAAAATATTTTGAAACTGAAGTCTGACTTGGTGAATGTTTATACTTCTGAACATAGATAATATTCCTTTGTCTGCAAACACAACGTTTGTGCTGTCACAAAAATATACCTTGAAAATGAATCTGAATAATTAGGACAAATCAAATTTACAACATTTGCAATTTTTATATTTATATAAAAAATTTAATTTTTTTTTTTTTTAAAAAACCGCCTTAAAATATTAATTTTTTTAAAATTTTTTTATTTTAAAAATTAATTTAAAAAAATTTTTTTTTATTTTTTTTTATTTTTTTTTTTTTTTTTTTTTTATTTTTCTTTTTGTTTGTGTTTCATGGACTCAAAGTTTCAGTCATCTGCGTCTCTAACAAGACAGCATGCTGGGAGCTTTCCACAGGAATGACAGCATCAACAGCATTTTCATGGTCATCTGCAAACATTTCAAAATATGAAAAAAAAGTTTAAGTCTAGTTTAAGTCAATGTTATCACTGCATAATATTTAGTTACACTAATGCATGTTCTTAATGACAAATTTCTAAAGTTAAATTCAAGCCAACAGGCACGAAACTTCAACGACAAAATCATCAAATTCAATATTCCCTCCTCCTCCATCAACCTCTGCCTGTTTTCACACATATTGAATAAACAAGCTTAGTGGGGACATATCACACACCATGTCGTGGTTCCTTATGGGGACCAATGCTAGACCAAGTCTCTAGGTTGTCAGATACTTAACACACAGTTTCTATTCATACAATAATGTAAGATGTGCTATGGGGACTTCGTGAATGTCCCAGAATAGAGTGATATTTTATCAAAAGTAACATCCCTATGAACATTAAAATCTGTCCTGAATATCCTATTACCATTATGTTTCTAGATGCATTTAAAAAAACAGCTTATTTACCTGCTTAAAGGGCATAAAAAGCAACAAACGGTGAGTTAGAAATATTCTAGGAGTAAAGTTTAAGTGCTAAACATGAATGTACCTGTTGATTAGTGTCTCATGGACTCAAAGTTTCAGTCATCTGCGTCTCTAACAAGACAGCATGCTGGGAGCTTTCCACAGGAATGACAGCATCAGCTACATTCATGGTCATCTGCAAACATTTCAAAATATGAAAAACAAGTTTAAGTCTGATGTTATCACTGCATAATATTTAGTTACACTAATGCATGTTCTTAATGACAAATTTCTAAAGTTAAATTCAAGCCAACAGGCACGAAACTTCAACGACAAAATCATCAAATTCAATATTCCCTCCTCCTCCATCAACCTCTGCCTGTTTTCACACATATTGAATAAACAAGCTTAGTGGGGACATATCACACACCATGTCATGGTTCCTTATGGGGACCAATGCTAGACCAAGTCTCTAGGTTGTCAGATACTTAACACACAGTTTCTATTCATACAATGATGTAAGATGTGCTATGGGGACGTCGTGAATGTCCCAGAATAGAGTGATATTTTATCAAAAGTAACATCCCTATGAACATTAAAATCTGTCCTGAATATCCTATTACCATTATGTTTCTAGATGCATTTAAAAAAACAGCTTATTTACCTGCTTAAAGGGCATAAAAAGCAACAAACGGTGAGTTAGAAATATTCTAGGAGTAAAGTTTAAGTGCTAAACATGAATGTACCTGTTGATTAGTGTCTCATGGACTCAAAGTTTCAGTCATCTGCGTCTCTAACAAGACAGCATGCTGGGAGCTTTCCACAGGAATGACAGCATCAGCTGCATTCATGGTCATCTGCAAACATTTCAAAATATGAAAAACAAGTTTAAGTCTGATGTTATCACTGCATAATATTTAGTTACACTAATGCATGTTCTTAATGACAAATTTCTAAAGTTAAATTCAAGCCAACAGGCACGAAACTTCAACGACAAAATCATCAAATTCAATATTCCCTCCTCCTCCATCAACCTCTGCCTGTTTTCACACATATTGAATAAACAAGCTTAGTGGGGACATATCACACACCATGTCGTGGTTCCTTATGGGGACCAATGCTAGACCAAGTCTCTAGGTTGTCAGATACTTAACACACAGTTTCTATTCATACACTGATGTAAGATGTGCTATGGGGACGTCGTGAATGTCCCAGAATAGAGTGATATTTAATCAAAAGTAACATCCCTATGAACATTAAAATCTGTCCTGAATATCCTATTACCATTATGTTTCTAGATGCATTTAAAAAAACAGCTTATTTACCTGCTTAAAGGGCATAAAAAGCAACAAACGGTGAGTTAGAAATATTCTAGGAGTAAAGTTTAAGTGCTAAACATGAATGTACCTGTTGATTAGTGTCTCATGGACTCAAAGTTTCAGTCATCTGCGTCTCTAACAAGACAGCATGGTGGGAGCTTTCCACAGGAATGACAGCATCAGCTGCATTCATGGTCATCTGCAAACATTTCAAAATATGAAAAACAAGTTTAAGTCTGATGTTATCACTGCAAAAAACACTGTTGGGTAAAGGGATGCCTAAAATTGTCTAGGACAAATCAGAATGGAAGGGGGTAAAAAGAGAAATTGGGTGGGTGGGTGAGTGAGTGAATGGGTGACTGAGTGAGCTAGCTGTTTAGGTGGGAGTTTTAAAGAGCTTCTAGGTTTTAATAAAGCAGGCAGACTCTGGCACAGTCGGAGATAGATTCGCTCTGCGTTGCTTTATTAAAAAGAACTCAAACCTTTTCCTAGAGCTTTGGCGTGGGAGGACATATCCTGGGGGACACACACACACAAACGGAAAACACATACAAAATTTTTTTTTTTTTTTTTTTTTTTTTTTTTTTTTTTTTTTTTTTTTTTTTTTTTTTTTTTTTTTTTTTTTTTGTTTTTTTTGGACACACACACACACACACACACACACACACACACACACACACACACACACACACACACACACACACACACACACACACACACACACACACACACACACACACACACACACACACACACACACACACACACCTCTCTCTGTTTAATCAAGCTCAGTGTGCAGTGACAAGGCAGTCTGATCCCCAAGCACCTATTGGTGCCTTGCAAATTACCACCACAAAGTGCCAGGTAAATATCAGCAGTGGAGCTGCTCTATAGGACTGAATTGTCTCACCAGGACACACACTGCTGCCCCTCTGTCTCGCAGGGAAAAAGGGTAGAAATGAAAGGTGGACAAAAAGATAATGGTGCTGATTGATTTCTTCTTGGATGTTAAATATTGTACATCTATAGTTTAGACAAGGATTTGAGTTACTAACATTACTTCTCTATCTACTGTAATCAGTGTGGGCAGGTTCGGCTTCTGTAATGGAGGCTGCTCATCCGCTGACATCCCCCACCCACTGAGCAGAGTAGGAGGGAACACGCCACTGTATTTAAATGACATCTTACACCGCAGACTAAACTTAATAACCCTCAAAGGGAACATTACTATAACAACAGGCAACACCCCCCTCTTTCACACAATATATGCAGCCGCACTTTGACAACAAAATTCTTCTGGAGTCCGCAGTGACCTCATTACTGAGGCTTTATGGACATTTATTGTTCATGTTATCAGGCCCACATACAGGAGAGCAGAAAGGAAAAATCCACTTTTTCTCCCATGCAGGACTTTGTTTAGATAGCAAGGATTTACCACAAGGTGACATAAGGCCTCTGCATTATTAAGGCGACTAGTAGAGTGAAGATTGCTACTGAAGATCAATGCAGACAGAGAGCTGTTGCGTTTCTTCAAAGCCACTGTCAGGTGAAAATCCTGCGTCTCCAAAATGTCAGTGCATCAAGAACAGCAACCGTGTGTTTTTATACATTTAAAATCATACAAAAAGGTGCTGAGATGGTTCCATAAGTGAAGGAGGTATAAAATCTTTGCAACTCCAACAGTCCTGTAATGTGAGCGGAGATGCTTAAGTCACATTACCTGAAGTTTATAACCTCAGATGCTGCGGTCATCATATTCACATTAACAAACCAACAATGCAGCACCGGATTTATGTAATGATATGGATGACATCCAGTGCACTGGTCTTCTTTAAAGAGCAATTCCATTTTATCAAAGCCTGGGTCTTATTTGGTCTAGGTTTCGCTTTGCCGACCAATAAAGTAGTTTGGATAATCTGGCTAAACTGCTGGCTGCCTGATAGGGCAAGGAAGACGACACTCAAGACAATCAGTCTTGAGTGTCGTCTTTCTTGCCTCATGGAGTTTGTCAAAGCAATATTGCCATTATCCTAGATCTGAGTAGTCCTAACTAATCAGTCATCAGTCATCAGTAATAGCTGATCACCTATGGCCTTTACTTTACTTACTATTCCTGAAAGGAGGACTTTTCACATTTAGCACTTTAAGAAGGTAAAAATAGGTTTGTAGTGCTTTTATTTGCAGGCATATACAAGGATTATTCCGTGAGTGCTCAGATACTGTTAAAATAATGCAAAGTGCTGGACCACATACAACATCAATTTGCTTCAACAGTTCACTCCAAGCATTTCCTGTCACCCTGCCCTTGCTTGACTATTTACAATTATCTTTGTGTTACCATGAATAAAAACATAAGGACATCATGCACTCCTTTATTTAAAACACGGTCTTGCTTTGGGCAAGTAAAACAATTAATTTCAATTCCAGTCAAAGTTAGCCTGCGGTGAGTCTGTCCCTTCTTCATTCCTATTCTCTTTCCGGCTGTGGCCAGAAAACACTGAAAGGAATGAGGAAGCTTTCATTTTGGCTCTAATTAAAATGGTGACTTGGAAAAGAACAACAACAAAGAATGCACAATGCATCAAGGGCAGAGCAGAGAAAAAGCAGACATATAGGATGGTTCTGTTTAGAGTAACTGTGAAATCAGAGCCAGGAGCAATTGACCACTCACACATATAATGGACCAGCTTCATCCACACTGAGACAACCATGTCTGGGATTTATAAACATGTATAAAGGCTGGGGGGAACACAATAGGCCAAAATCCTTAATCCACGTGCCACAGAGTAAAGATGGGGATTTCCTTAGCTTAATAAGGATAGATCTTCTCAGCACCATTGGGAAAAAAATACTCTGCAAGATTGACAGCAATAAACAGAGCAGAGCTGTCGTCCGCTCAGCGGAGATGGACTGAAATCTACTGACTGAGACTGACTGACAGAAGGGTGTTGGGAGGGAGAAAGTAGGCTAGAAGGAGAAAAAGGATGAAGGAAAACCCTTGAGCGAGGCCAAATGTCCAACATATGGACATGTGTAAAGACCAGGTGGATGGAGCGAAGGACGGCAGAGGTCCCCGAGTCCTACTTTAAGTGATACATGGCTACTGTGCATGGATAATCTGTCTTTCAAAGTCAGAGGCTGTGGCCCAAAGCTGGTTTCAAAATCCAGGGTCTACTCGGCAAAAAATACATTTAAAAATATATTTTTCCTCAGTGAGAGCTATTTTACAAGTACAGTACATGAGAGAATGATTACTAATGCAATTTTGCTTTTCTAGGCCGCACATAAGCAAATGTACAAGTGACGTTTGCTTGTGTGTTACATACAGTACGTGACCAATGGGACGTAGTGTCACATTTGGAAAACCACAATGTAAAGAAAACATAGTTAGACACAGAAACATGTCACAACCTATGTCTCAAAATGACCATACACCACAAAACTGTAAGTGCTAGAAACTGACAACAGAGAGAGATCTGTCTACCTGGCAGGAGAGGGGCTTTGCAGTGCGCTTGGATTTTATAATTGAACTATGAGCAGGATACACAGACTGTGTGGAAATCTGATGTTGTATTGTGTTGTCTCTCACAGATCAACAGGCATTAAAATGTCACTGACGCTGATATTGATTGGCATTCTATATATTCTATATAAAATAAAACAAATAACTAAAGCCAAGAGTACATCGAGTGGTTGTTTCTTTTAATGTATTACTTGGAGGCTTGCCACTGTTGTCGTTTTCTGTAATGTTCAAATGTTTTTAATAAAGGAGTGTATGTTGAAAGACATGGGGTTTTATTGATTTTGAATTAGCTTTTTTCCGTGGTATCGGTTGGTATCGGCTACTAAATGTCTGCTATGACATTCTTAGTCTGCAGTAGCGTTGTTGAGTGTGACCTACAGTTGCTCATAACACCCTTCTCTGTGTAGGTTCACAAATACATTTACATTTATCTCTTGCAAGCACAATCCAGTTTCAGAAAGGTGTAGAGAAAAACATGAAAGAAGTATGGAAATAGCTAATTGAAGTATAGAAGCTGTTACCGTTCTGTGTAAGCTTGGTGGAACAGACCAGCGTGGCGATCTGGAAGGAGTCCTTGCTGATGGTGCAGTTGCCCAGGTTCTGGGTGCTTTTCCCGGTGGAGGAGTAGCCCTTCTCCTCAAGCTCCAGCTTTGTGGCAGGTAAGTTCAGGTACAGAGACGAGTCTTCCAGCTTCTTTGCTTCTGCCTGTTTTTCAGGAAATTTGCCATTTTACAATTAACAATAATTATTTTTGCAGAATTATTTAAATTAGTGGTCGACCGATATGGGTTTTTCAGTCCATATATCTGATATCCATATCTTCTGTTTATGTTGCAGTGAAGTTTTATATTCTATTCCTGTGGGTTGTTTAAGATGGGTTTTCCTTGTGGATCCTATCACTGAACCACTTTTTACAATAACGTTTTTCTGCCAGTTGTCTGATGTGAGAGTAATAACGAAACTCTTTGCCAAACAGCAACCTTGACTGACAACTGCAATGCAAAACATAAGAGAAAGAAAAATCTAATTGGGGGAATTTTTCCCACATTAACTTTTTAATTAACATAAATGGGAACCGTAATGCAAAGATATCATTATGCAAGGGATTTTAATTGGGAAGTAATTTCATTTCACTGTGGGGGTTGATGCGTACCAACTACACAACTCTCCACAGAATGCAGTGAAGCTATTATCATGGCAGCTACTAATAAGACAGGCCAATATTTCACCCAGGAGTCATCTCTGTTGTGGTCGTGTCCCAAAGAGTGTGGGCAGCCAGTATCAAACACAGCAGAACACTGTAGACAGACTGCTAACTTTGTTATGGGATGTTTCACATTTACCTTGTACACAATGAGATCATGCTCGCCGTCCCTCAGAGTCGTCCCATCGTACCTCATCAATTTCACGAAAGACAAGGCAAATATCTTCTCAGATTTGTCTTTGGCTGAGGGAGGAAGACAGAAAACAGCCAGATGGGAGGAGATGTTTTTGCAATTGACTGTGTTCATATACACTGTCCTGTTTTTGTACAAAAGTATAACAAACTAACAGACAAAATCTAATGTACATACAGTATATACATGTGTTTAAATGAGAAGCATGCATCTTCACAAAATCAAAAGACAAAGGGAGCTATTAGAGAAAGACGCCGCTACAGTAAATCATGCCACATGGCC